ATATATATACACTGTATATAGTAGGGGTGCAACAATACATGTACCCGTATCAAACCGTATCGAACAGTGCTTTAGGTTCAATACACACTTGTACCCAACAGTATAGATTTTAAAAATGTACTTTATCAACTTGTCTTCTGAAGATGCTCTGTGTTGAAGGATCAGTGGATCTGTGTTCGACTACTCCACCTAGGCTGCATTTCTGAGTGCAGATCCACAGAGAAACTTGCTGTTTCAACATGTCATTTAAAAACTGTACTTTTGAGGTTAAACAAATGTTCATAATTAACATAAATAAATTACAAGTTAAAAGGCACATGGAAATTTCTCTTTTTTTGTATCGAAAAAATATTGAACCGTGAGACTAAAGTATCGAACCGAACCGTGAATTTCCTGTATCGTTGCGCCCCTAATATTTAGGTAGCCAGCTAAAGTTGCAACCTAAACATTTAGCTCAAAACTAAATATTTAAGTCACGTTAAATATTTAGCTTGTTAACTAAATATTTAACTTGTGACTTAAATATTTAGTCTATAAACTATGACATTTAATTATGTATGAGTCATATGGAGAAAAACTGACTTTGAAAAATAAATCTGTTCTTTTTTTTTTATAAAAGGCTAAAAAAAAATATTGGTGGTAATTTTTGACTGTGTAACTTTACAAACGGCACCCCATACTATCCAGTTCTGGTTAAACATAAAACACAACAGCACTGTTTAAACATGTTAAATTACAGTACATTTACAGATGGTTTAATGTCAAACAACTTGAGTCTGGGATTCAAACAGAAGCTGTGTATGAATGTTGTTTCACTGACATCATGCAGAGCTGCTGATGTCCTGAAGACATGACCCTTCATGAGGCATTAGCCTCTGGCTCTCTGTCCCACACAGCTACTGTTTGTCACATGACCTACTTACTCAGTGAAGGCAGGGAACGTGGCCCAGATGTTGTCTGTGTTCAAGGAGTAGCTTTTGTCATAACAGCTGAACCATGGGAGTTATAAATAGAGGGCCATAATGCAACCTTTTGCTGCCATTAATGAAGAACTGCTGAAGGGATGCAGAACAACCGGGACACAATTTGTAACTGAAACACGATGCACTGTCTACAGAGAAAAGCACAAACCAATATCACAATTCAAAACCTACAGAATGAACACAATGGACATAAGAGGCTAAATCAGGGATAATAAAGTAAGGGTGGGGATTTCTTAGAAGCAAGGAGACTAAAACTACTACATGGTGATGAAACTCCCAAAATCAGTAATAAAAACACACAAAAAGTGACTGGAGTGGAAACTTCAAGAAAGAATGAAAACTTTATTACAGAACAGAAACCAGGAGCCAGTTTAGAGCATAAAGTCCTGATTTATCTTTAATAAAACAGCCATCCTCATCCAAACAAAACCAGCTCATTTCCAGATCCAACTGTTCTTCAGGTTAAATGTTTCGTCCTCCATGTTCCTCTGTCCAGTACTCACCACCTGCTGACTCTCTGTATGTGTTAGTTAGATTAATCTCGGCTATCTGTAAACCTGACTGAGTTAAGAGACTTTTCTGTGTATTTTAAAGCTGATTAGCTGTGGTGGCCATCTTGAATTGAATGGGATCCTCAGTCGTCTTTTGGCAATGATTCATTTCTGGATGTTTCATTAAAATTCATTCTGTGGTTCATGATATACTTTGGTATCAAACACAGACATGAGAAGAAAAAAAAAACAAGGGACGAGACAATAAAAAACGAAATTCTGAAAAACTCAAAAGATTTTCTAAAGAACGTTTTTAAAGTCTAAAATCCTGAAATGTTAAAATGTGAGATACATCTAAGACTCAAACTCCAGATAAATCACTACCAAAACTAATAATAATCAAATGATCACCAGACTACAGAGAGATGCAGGTTGTTGGTTCAGTATCAGAACAGTTACTATTTTTGCTTTCCAGAAAACTTCAGAGCACTGTGCACCGGAGAAAAAGGATTTGGTTTCAAAGGCTCCTCGTTCCACCGTATCATACCCAAGTTCATGTGCCAGGTACTGTCATGGAGAAAAGGTTTGTCTGCAGTCTGGTTACAGATCTGTACGAAGCCTGTCTGGTGACATTGGATGGAAAAAATGTATGCATGGCCACGTGTTAGTCAATACATGGCTAGATAATAACAAGAGGCAACAAGATAATTACTGCAGGCATTTCCATGCAGAGGCTGTTTATTGTTATGTTCAAAGGTGACAGCTAGAATTCTATTTGTCCAAAAAGCTTTAGTTTATTTTGTCCTGATGCATCTCAGTAATCCAGGTAGAAAAAATCAAAAAGAAGTTCTTCTTTAGTGAAACGTTTTGAAAACATGACGTCCCAGTGGCTTTCAAACCCCAAAACACATTATGACAAAGATTAGTCCCCAAATATCCAGTTCCCTGGCAAAATCAGAGTAATATAGTGTATGCTGTTAAGTGTCAGGAGGACTGTGATCATTGGGGAAACAAAACAGCCACTTTCAAAAGAATGAGCCAGCACAGATGAGCTACATCATCAGACCAGGGGTCTCATTTATAAAGGATTGCGTGGAAACCATACTAAAAGTGAGCGTATGGCCAAAAGGCGGAAATGGCGTACGCCAAAAAAAATTCAGATTTATAAAACCGTACGTACGCACGTTTCTGCGCA